CGGAGACGTTGGGCCGCTCACCGACTCCCCGGGTGCCGTCTCCCTGACGTCAGGGAGGTGGTCCAGGGGACCCCGCCCCGCCTCGCTGTCGTTGTCGTCGTCGCTCGAAAGGTCCACCGGTGACGGGGACGGAGACGGCTCCTCCGAGAGACCGTCGTGCCTCTGCTGCCGGCGGCGTTTCTCCAGCTCATCGCGCTTGAGGCCCTTCCTCTTGTGCCTTGCCTCCTCAGTGTCCTTCCGCTCCTTGTACGCCTCGGTGTGTGCCCTGTTCTTGGCTCGCCGCTCGGCATCCTCAGGACCGGGCGGCGGGGAGGCTCGCACATCCCTCATCCCCTGTAGGAACGATAATCGCAATGAGGGAACGGACTAAAAATACAAGGAGCAAGAAGGCCTCGAAGGCCTCAGCAATACACGACTTACCAGAGAAATGTACCCCTGCGACAGGCGCATCGGGAATGGGGCCATACCACTGCTCCTCAGCCGCCCCTCCACCGTCTCTCTCACCCGACGCAGAACCTCCTCATTAGAGAGGGCGACGGCGGACAACCGGATGCCGTCAATCGGCTCATCCAGTGTCATCTCGAACAGGCGCTGCCGCCGAGCCATCAGCGGCAGCACCCTCCGGTGATGGAAGGCCACCACGACCACGGCCGCCATACGGCCACGGCTGCGTAGCCTCTCCAGGGCCCTTAGGAGCGACTGTAGCTTGGGCTGATCAGCCAGCTGTACGCTGTACCTCCACCTCTCCGGCTGGCTCTCCACGACCTGCCCGATATAGGGGGGAAGCCCGCCGTCATTATTGCGGAGGTAGAACCTGCTGTTGTACCAGCGGTGGTTCGACGACGCGAGCTAGGCCGGGATGTAGAGGGGCTGCCGGTCTTGGTGCACTTGGAGAGTGCAGCCGCTGGCCCTCCATGCCTTCCACGTGCCCGCCATACCCGCCGGCTTGGTGGTGAGCCTCGTCTGAAAGAGGTGGAGCCACAGCTCCCAGTGGGGGCGATGCCTAGGTACCCCTCACAGACAGCGACGAAGATGGCTGCCTGCGCGATGGAGTTGGGGTTGAAGTTGTGGAGCTCCACGCCGTAGTAATGCGGGAGCGCTCGCATAAACCAGTTCGTCGGTAGGACGAGGCCGTGCTCATGGAAGGCCACGAAGCTCATGATGTAGCCATCGCGTGGCCTCGGCTCCGGCTCGTTCCCCTGAGCAATCCACTCTGGCCTGTTGGGGTCGGTGACCGGGCGGAGGAGACCGTCGTCGACGAGCGACTGCAGCTTCACCGCGGACACGTCAGACGAACCCCAAGGATCCGCCTAGAGGACAATGGAGCCACCGGCCATGGGAATGGTGGAGAATGCGACTACGCCGGTACGCGTGCTCTCGCTCTTTTTCTCTCTGCTTTCCTCCCCCTTCTCCCTTCTTCTCCCTGGCGCTCTCTTCCTCTGTTCTTAGCAACCGCTCGAAGGCAGAGAGGGCGAACGTAGGCGGAAAAGGTAAAGAGGGGCGGAGCGCGGCGCGTCACGTATTTATAAGGGAGGAGAGAAGGAAAACGGGCGAGCGACGAAACCGGGAAAGAATTTCCCAGATCTAACGCGCGCAGTTAATGCGGATCTGGCTAAACCGCCCACGCGTCCACCTTTTTCTTAACCATGCGCACAATAACGTCCCCTCCGCAGACATCGCGTCACATCCGCCCGCGGCAACCGCAGGTGCCGTTCCATCTCCCCGAGGAACCGCCTCAAAAGGCGCACCCGATTTCTTTCTGACTAAGGAACTAGGCACCGAGCCCGTTATGGTCCAGGGGTTCGAAGGCTAGGCCCCCAAGGGTCTCGACAGCCGCCCCAGGACAAATAGAGTTAGGGATGACTAAGGGCAAGCCCATACATGGCTGAGGCCCAAGCAAGCAGCTGCTTGGGATGCCCTAAGTCGTGTCTGAGACCGGCAGGGAGGTCTCTGAATGGGATCCCACCGTAGGGAGGCACCGAGCCCCTAGGGCCAATCGAACGGCCCTAGGACCCACTAGAGAAGCCCTCTGGTACTTTTGGAGCACGTCTCCAGACCGCTAGCTGCCCCCTATCTAATGGGGCACGTGCCTCCACTCGGACTTACCCGATAATAGCTCACCGGAGATGTCACTGCTCGCCCACCGAGGGTAGCCTAGCATACTCCACCCCTCCTTCCGAGCGAAAAGGATGCGTGAGGGCCGCACAAAAAAGACAGGGAAACTCCTGACCGCCCTCTTGCTCCGCGTAGAGGCTCGGGGGCTCTTCCTGCGACCAAGCCGAGGCCCAGCGACCTGAACTCGCACTCGGGGGCTCGGCAAACGCGATAAAACCCCTCCTTCTGAGCAAAAAGTATGCGCGAGGGCCGCACAAAAAAGACAGGGAAACTCCTGACCGCCCTCTTGCTCCGCGTAGAGGCTCGGGGGCTCTTCCTGCGACCAAGCCGAGGCCCAGCGACCCGAACTCGCACTCGGGGGCTCAGCAAACACGATAAAATCCCTCCTTCCGAGCGAAAAGGATGTGCGAGGGCCGCACAAAAAATACATGGAAACTCCTGACCGCCCTCTTGCTCCGCGCAGAGGCTCGGGGGCTCTTCCTGTGACCAAGCCGAGGCCCAGCGACCCGAACTCGCACTCGGGGGCCCGACAAACGCGATAAAACCTCTCACTCGACAAGGAAAAAGCCCCTGGAGGAATAAATCCACTCCTCCAGGGCCTCGGGGGCTACACCTGGCAGGTGCGCTCACGCGCACCCACCGAAGCCTCGAGCACAAAACACAATCCTGGCGGAAGCTGCTGCGAGCCAAATCTCGTCAAAACCTCAGGGACAATGCTCGCACTCCCCCCGAGGCTCGGGGGCTACTGTCGGATACCATAAAGAGGGGTACCCTAAGCAAGAACCGAAAAAATTGCTTAGACCTTGTAAATAATGAAACCAAAATACAACAGCAGGCAAACTCGCCACATCCGAGGCCCGGCTGGACCATCCACCTCGAACCAATATCCGGGCTCGCCCGAGGCGGGCTCGGCCTAGAACCGCAAGGCCTCGGACGAGGTACCGATTCTCCGCCTCGCCCGAGGCCCCAGACCGCAAGGCCCATACCGCCAGGCCTCGGACGAGCCACCGATTCTCCGACTCACCCGAGACCCCACACTGCAAGGCCTCAGACGATGTGCCAATTCTCTGACTCGCGCGAGGCCCCACGCTCGCCACCGATTCTCCGACTCGCCCGAGACCCCACACCGCAAGGCCTCGGACGATGTGCCGATTCTCCGACTCGCGCGAGGCCCCGCGCTCGGCACCGATTCTCCGACTCGTCCGAGGCCCCACACCGCAAGGCCTCGGACATGGAACAGATTCTCCGACTCGCCCGAGGCCCCGCGCCGCAAGGCCTCCGACGAACACCCAGTTACCGACTCGCTCGAGACCGGCTCGGCATCAGCCCCATCACCGCCGCTTTGACTGACCTCTCTGACGGGACGTCACATCCAACTAATGCGTTCAACCACTCCCACAACGTCAGCCGCACGACGGCACGGTACAGCAGAGTGGCCGACGAGACGGAAGTCACATCGACGCCCTGCCATCCGGGACAGGACGGGGCGGGGGTTACCGACCGCTGTGCTCGGCACTATGCCCACGGCTGACGCTCGTGCTATGCTGTGCTGCCTAACCCCTGCTCCAAGGATAGCGCGGCGTGGAAAGTCATGTCCAGGTCCCTATAGCCTCGGAAACGACGTGCAAGGCCAAACTGCTCCCTCCGAGCCTCGGCTACCCGCTCCCGGGCTCCTGCAGCATCGGGACACGCGCCCGCCGAGCCCCCCCCCCACGACGGTCCAGCCTCTGCATCGAACTGGGCCTCGGCTCTCTGCGTCGACGACGCGCTGGGACCGGCACGTCGCCTGCAGTGCGCGCCACGCCCTGCGTCAGGCTGCAGGAGCTCCCACGTCGTGCATAGGGCCTAGCTCCTGTAGCCTCGGAATTTGCATACCCGCGCCACCACATCAACCCGGCCTCGGCACTCCGCGCCAGTCAAACATACAGCGACCAGCACGCCTCCAGCAGAAGAAGGCGCACCTGTCACCACAGGAGCTCCCACGTCGCGCAGGATCAGGCGTGACCGGCGTGTCGCTCCAGTGCACCAAGGACAAGATCGCTCCACCGACCATACCGCCAAAGCGACGAGCTGCAGGGCTCGGACATGCCGCCGCTGTCGAAGAACGCCACGTAGCAAATACATGTACCGCCCCTGTGCCTCCCTTCGACTATAAAAGGGAGTGACCATGGCCGCTTCAAGGAGAAGAAGAATCACAAACACCCACGCAAGCGAAGCACAACGCTCTGTAACACACACTCCCTCACTGCAGGAGATCAACATCTCAAGCAACCCACACTGTAATTCACAGAGACCTGGGGCTAGCTCCCTCTCTTGCTCAGCTTGTAACCCCCTACTACAAGCACCTCGGTTCAAGGAATACAAGATCGCTCTCTCAGACTGGACGTAGGGCACCTATTGCCTGAACCAGTATAAACATTGTGTCTCTTTGCATCACCATCCGGGATTAGAGACATATAGTACATTTTCACTCGTTGGTTGAGGACCCCTCGGTCCAAAACACCGACATTGGTATATAGCTCCTAAATAATATAATACACTCTCACTTTTAAACTATATGTGTAGCATTTATCCAGGTGTATAACAAAAGTTATATACTTAGAAAAGTTAAAACAGCTTATAATTTGAAGCAGAAACAGAGGAATTTAGCACTGTGTCAAAACCCATCTATATAATAATGTTTTTTATATGAACAAATATCCAATAAAAAAACAAAACCCTATTTGGCCCAATTCGCATCTAATAACTCAGTGTGATAACAACTCAAAAGAGAAAAAAACGATTAAAGACATCATAATTAATTTAGGAGAAAGCTGAAAAACAGAGGAAAGGATTCACTCCAATCCATCCTGCCCGAATCACAAAGCAGATCGATCCCGGCGATGATGGCCGCCGGCGACGGCGACCACCTCGCGCCCTCCTCCGCCGCCAGGCGAGCCTTCACTCTGACGCCGACCTCGCCTATCGACTCCAGGTAGCCTCCCTCCACGCCCGACCTTCCCGCGATGCCGCCGCCTCGTCCTCCTCTTCGCCGTCATCATCATCGCAAGCCGCCGCCCTCCCCTGCCGGTCCGGCGCCTCCGTCCCGCACTACCGCATCCTCTTCAAGGGAATGACGAGCAAGGAGGTGTTGGGGCCGAGGGACCGGGACCCGGCGTGGCGGTGGCGGTGGCGGTGCTCGCGGCGGCAGTGGTCGGGCCGCTTTGGGACGTGCTTTTCATGACCCAGAAGCCGGTGGAGGGGTTCGTAGAGGCCGCAAGACGATTGAGGTCATGGCGCTCATGGAGGGCCTCCACGCCGCGCTCAGGCTAGGCATCCGGAACGCCACCATCCTCACCGACTACATTCTCCTGCACAACCATGTAAGGCTCTTCTTTTGCTTGCCATACTGAAAAAAAAAGTAATGTCCATTTTTTTTTGTGATATAGAGGTAGAAAATCGCCATCTTTGACCATTATATTAGATGTACAAAGCTATTTGGATTGGTCAGATCATAGATTTTTTTTATTATAAATTGAACAAGAGCTTTCTCTTTTGCTCAACAGAAAATGCTCTTGTTCAGTTGATAGACACTTCTGTGTAGGTCAAAGACTAAAATGGTGCATCTGTAGTAAGACAACCTTGTGATGTCCTGAATCTCGTATTTGTTCTGCAAGAGTTGTTGACCTTGAGCTTGATCTATCATAGTTAATGTTGAGCTTAGCGCCACTGTTGCTGTGAGTTGCTTGTACATCTATTAGTTCTTTCACCTTCTGCGTCAGCTGTCATTTGCGTGAATATTTGGTTTACATGTAAATTCAGCTGTCAAGTTTTTGAATCTCTTCTTTTGTACTAGTCTTGTGGTGACTTATCCACTCATCCGCTTGTCAAAATATAATAAAAGAATTTTTATGATTATTCCTGAGATGATATCATTGGGATTGCAGATGCTTGGAATTTGGCGTCCAAAGAAGAAGCTGGCAGACATGATTGATCGGGTTATGTCACTGCGAAGGCAATTTGACAAATGTGAAATAACACTTGTTGAGCACAGCCAGGTCAGCTATGTGTTCAAATTAGCAAGAGATTTCATAGATGCTCAGATCGCCAAGGCTCTTGCTGAGAGAAGCGAGAGATGCACCATCTGCTTGGAAGACACTGGGTTTCTAAGATTCATGCTGTTGAAGGCTGTGCACATCGCTTTTGCTTGTCGTGCATGAAGGAACATGTGAGAATTAAGCTGCTGCATGGAACACTCCCATCTTGCCCACAAGATGGCTGCACTTCCAAGCTAACTGTGGAGGGTTCCAAGGTATCCCTATCACCTCAACTATTAGAGATCATGGTACAGCGTATCAGGGAAGAGCAAATCCCTCCAACCCTAAAGATTTACTGCCCTTATCCCAAGTGTTCAGCCTTGATGTCCCTGAGTGAGCTGATGAAGCCAATGCAAGGGACTTGCTCAAAGTACACTTGAGGAAGTGTGTGAAATGCAGAGGCTCTTTTTGCTTCAGATGTAAAGTCCCCTGGCATGATAGGATGACTTGCAATGACTACGAGAGAAGGTACCCGCATGGGCATCCAAAAGATGCCAACGTACAGAACCTTGCACAGCAGCGGCTGTGGCGGCAATATGTGAGATGCAAGCACATGATTGAATTCGCAGAGGGTTGCTACCATATGACTTGTGTGTAAGTATTTTTGCCTGTTTATTTATGGTGCCCATTTGTTATATTTGATCCTGATGCCAATCAATATGTTGCTGCTTAGGTTTGTTTCTTATAAAATCTTGCTGACATGTCTGCTGCTGCGCACATTGGTTGTTGCAGGTGCGGCTATGAATTCTGCTACACATGTGGGAGTGAATGGAAGGAGAAGAAAGCAACTTGCAGCTGCTCACTGTGGGAGGAACGCAATATCATCAGGTATGATAATGAGGATGACGACTACTACGATGATGAGGACGAGGATTACTACGATGAAGAAGATGCTTACTATGGACGAGGCCCTCTCCATAACGTGGTTCACCTTCCTTTTCATGGAAGGGCTGTTCACTAGGACAATCCCCCCGTCTTCCAGAACTTATTGTGCAACAAGTCTCCAGCATACATAGCTTTTCTGAGATGACCTGTGTGTTCTCTCCAACAGTGCAAGGACTATCTTCAACATTACAAACTTACAATATCCTTTCTTCTTCACCTTTTCAGTCTATTTCAAACACCAAAACAATTGGGTCATCGGGCTTAAAAATTAGGGTACAGCAAATTTACGTCATGTTTAACAAGGAAGGCTGTGGATCATCCTTAAATAACAAACAAGAAGCGAGCTGTCCTATCCAGCAAAAGAACAACAGCTCCAGCATGTGCCTCTGTCCTCTAGCACTTTTCTCATCTACTGTACTATACAACCATCTCAAGGCCTATGGGAATGGAAATTCAGCAAATTTCCCAGGGGGCAAAAGATGTGGCAACCTAAAATGGGATTCAAATATCAAATAGGCAGATGTTTTGTTGCTTCTATGCAACATGGACAGGAAAAAAAAATCTGTTGCATGGTTTCAGTTTCTTTGCACCATAGGTGTTAACCAGGTAGGTAAACGTTAGATTATCCTGTGGAACCCACCATGGCTTTCATCTCCTGTATTGACGCCCTGGATTCCCTCTCATCTTTGATCACTGCTTTCTTGGCAAGTTCTCTTGTGTTGACTCACTGGACTTGTTCTCATCTTTGATCATTGCCTGCTTGGCAAGCTCATAGCCTGCAAAGTTCATTGCTCCAAGAGGAGCAATCCAGAAGAAGCGGGGGATCGCGCCCTTAAAGAGTCCAAGTGGACCCTCGTTTCGAAGGATGGAGAAGATTATCATCTGCATAGACACTGGTGTGCCTGGAGGGGCAGTCATCATCCTAGTCTTCATCACATCAAAGGGAGTGGTCACTATTGCCGCAAGTCCTCCAGACAATGCTCCAACTGTCACTACTTCCCATGCTTCCAAGTCTCTCTTCAAAACATGTTGTGCTGCCTGCAAAACAAAAGCCATCATCATTGGATGCACCAATATGCAAGGCATATTGATACTAACATAACAAATATAGCTATCATTTACAAATTATGAGAACCAAAAGTAGTCACGAGTACACTATAAGTAGTAACTGACTAAATGAGTAAAAATACCCCTAAGACAGCTCCATTTGGTACCAACATGTGTCAAAACAAAGTCATTAGGCTGCCTATTTGGAGTTAGAGGAATGACATTTTTCCCCAAATCAATAGAACTGATAGCTCAAAATCAGCCAAAGGTAGTTAAGAAAGGTTAACAACATAGGGATTTGTGAATGACACTTTGAAGGTCTGGTGAAACCACAAAATCAATACAAATTGAGGATACCTTCTTAGCTTCTGCATAGAGGCACATTCCAGCAACATAGAAAGGAACCTCGCGACACAGTGTGGCCCCAGTGCCGCGAAAAAATCCCTTTGGGCCATCTTGTCGCATGGTGCCAACAATCGCCTCCCCTACATTGTTGAATATTCCAGCCTGCAAACGCTGCTTAAGAACCTCACAAGGGATACGGACTGCAGTCCCTAGGACTGTGCTGCAGAAGGACGCAATTGATTGCACCTATGGAACAAAAAGCATATCATCAAGCAATTCCACAAAGCACAATAATTATTACCAAGAACCAGAAAGTTTCTATTACCACTACTAAGTTCTAATAAGTTCTATCATGAGATTTATAAGGTGGGCTCCAGCAGAGTTTGCACAAGAAGTACTGGAGTAGTAAATCATACCTGAATCTCTGGAAGTGTTGGAGCAACATTAATTAATACAAGCTTGCTTGCTTCAAAGATTCCTGTCCTCAAGCCATGGCTGCAAATGACAGGATTCAAATTTTATAGACTACAAAAGATTTGCATATAAACCTATGAAATACCACATACCTTGAAAACTGGCCGAGAATTGCTGGGATAGAACCTCGATACAATCCTCGAAGCCCAATTTGTGGAAGCTTTGAAATGAGCTCTGGAAATGAGAGCGTAGATGCTTGGACACGTGTCTGATACAGCAAAAAAAGATAAAGCAATTGGATTTTGAGTACTTTGGTCGGCAGGCTAAACTTCTGTTATCCCATACTAATCTGTGAGGCCACATATAATGCCTTGGCATACCGCATGCATATTGATTTGTGAAGGGCAATCAAAGACATAATAAAGTAAGATCTCAAAATGGGATGCTATACATAGAAAGCTCCTAGTTCAATATCATGTGCTTTATTGAATCGCTTGTTTGAACTAAGCGGTATAAACAAGCATGCTAATGTACCTTCATTGAATCAATAGGATGCAGCAGAGAGGTAGAGAGTGCACTTGCAAGACCTCCAGCTAGAGCAGACTTCAAAACACTTCCTGTGGATATTTCTATAGGTGGGGGGACAGCAACAACAGTGGCTGCTTCAAACCAAATGTTCCTGAATGCATTTGTTAGTAAAGAAAAGTAAGATAGTTAAGAGAGCACCATACAATGATGAAAGATAGTCAGAATTGGTGATAATTGCAGAGTCACTATTCACTACAGCCAATTCAACCGCAGGTTTCTTCTAACAGGATATATCAGACATACCGAGGATCATCCTCAAAGGCGTTCTCAAGGAAGTAGAAGCATGAAGTTCGGAAATGGCCATATGAGATTGATCCTTCTGAATCAGAATTTAGATACCGTGAGCATGGCAGCGGCATTATCTTCATTGGCGGAAGTCCAGCACCTTTCAAGGAAGTCAAAATTTGATTCTTGTGAAGTGTTCCAGACTTGCTCAAACACAACGTGGTATATGCTCGGAGAATGGTTGCCTCCTTCTGTTCCATCAAGGATAAAAATTGCTTCCACCCAATTGATTTGAAAAGAAGTTGCTTCTTGTATGGCGGAACAATTCTCGGGCATACCTCCTTGGTAACCGCCTCTTCCTCATTGCAATTTCGAGATCTTCTAGAGTGACTTGGCCATCACCATCTCTGTCTAACTCTTCAAAGAACCGCTTTCCTGCAGCAGCAGAACATCAGCTACAAATATCACCTTATGATCCAACTAATACATAAAAAGAGCAACCTTTTCATAAGTATCATTGCATTATGTTATGCAGAATGCTGAATTGCTGAGGTACCAATTAGAACTGTAGTTTGAAAATCATTATGATGGATAGGCGCGCAGCTTGACTAAAAATGTAATAACAGGAAAGATAACAGGGCCACGGTACCGCCCTGTTGTTGCATGGGTCAATTAAAATGTCTAATAGGCATATCTTTGATAGTAGCTCACCTAAATTTTCTAAATACAGTGGTAAAATAATGGATCACATCAGAACAGATTTTATGCTGTAAATTGTAGATACGAATGGCATATCCTGAATCTGAATGTTTGAAGAAGTCTAGTGATTAAAATGTACATAATATAATTACTTTGACTCTAAAAGTGGCATTTGAGCCTTCTGTAGATGATTAACAGTGACTGATCTAATTTGGTGATTTCCCTACTGGTGCGATATGGTAAAATGAATGCATGATTGGCAATTGCAGACCATGAGCCTACATGCTGAAGAAGTAGAAATGAGGACACCTCTCTGTTGGGAAATGAAAATGATGTTACCTTCAATTTCTGCATATCTGAAGAAGTCTTGCACTGAGAAAAGCCTCTTCTTGTCAGGATGTGCATCTGGCGATGTTGATGATCTGCTCACCAGCTGCGGGACTAATTCAATGAGCTCCGTCAGTGAAACTGCAGACAGTGTAGACCGCAGACGCTCCACATTCGACAAAGGAATGTTAAGCAACCGGGCAGGCAATCTCTGTGCCTGCTGTTGTGTACCGCTAGCTTTGTCCACGCCCTCGTCGTCCCCAATTCCAGCACCATCCTCCTGGTCGCTGACCGGTGCTGGTGCTGGGACAGGGGACGCACCACCCATGATCCTTGCTGGCGGTGCCCCAACCTTTGCAAAGCCCAGGTTGGAAAGGAACCCATCGAAGTCGGCCCTCTTCCCATCGATTACCTTCCTGAGAACCACAAATTGCTCCAACTGTCGGGTAGCCATACCAAATTCTTCACTTTTCTGCCTGCAGGCGTCCTCCAGCAAGTGCAGGTTGTGGGCGAAGGCGTCGAACGCAATGCAGAGCAGGAGCTCCAGCTGCTGCTGCGGGGTGGCGCCATTGCTGTGATCCCAGTGGAGCGGCGGGGAGTGTTTGCCTCCCCGCCGCTTGGGCTTGAAGCACCTGGCGAATGACTTGAGGGGCTTGTGGAGGAAGTTGGTGACGACGACGTGGAGGTGGAGCAGGCAGTCGGCCTCGGGTTCCTCCTGCTGCTTGGGGTTGGGATTGGGACTGGAATTGGATCCGGGGATGTGGATGACGGGAAGGTGAAGGTGCGCGATGGCGCCACGGGCGGCGGCGCGGAAGGCTTCTAAGGGGCGGTCGGGCGCCATGGGCATCAGGGATAGGCACTAGATGGTGGTGGTGGTGGTTACGGCCCGGTGACGGTGGGCTCCGGCGAGCGGCGGGGAATGCATAGCGATAGCAGCAAGGCGAGTGAGGCCTCACTCAGAGAGTTCTGAGTGGGCGGCAGCCGTGTTCTTCTTCTACTGGGAGAGACGAGAGTAGCGAGCGGTGGGCGGGCGGCGGTGGAGGACGGCCGTGGCCGGTGGTGACGAGGAGGAGAGGGCCGAGGTGGAGCTGTAGCAGTTACAGACGAGACGGGAGGCGGAGAAGCGGCGAGTCGAGAGTCCGAGACCGTGAGAATTCAGGAAACTGCAGAATTAAATTAATTTCTCAGGGGAATGAAATGGATTACGATATTCAGATAGATCTGCTTTTTTGGCATTTGTTTCTGTCCAGAATAAGTGGGAGAATGTGCTTTTCTTTTATTTTCAAAAGAAAAAATAGTGTATTTTTAAGAAAAGTTTTAGAAGTTTTCTAAATACTTTTTTTAACTTTGAGGAGCTCCCTTGCGGCTACCGGCAGCGCATCCACCCCAGCCGGCGCAGGCACTGCTCCCTCACGAGCTTGGCTCCCTTCGGCGCGGCGGCGCTGGACTCCATTTCTCTCGCGCGGCGCGGCAGTGCTCCCCCTTGTGTGGCAGGCGGTCCCGGCGTGGGCATCTCCTTAGCGTGGGTGTGGACCATCTTCTTCCCCGCCGGCCAGATCCGCAGCACCCAACTCCCCGGTGACTCCCCTGCCCTGCACGATGGCCACTCCCCCGGCGGTGACCCGGTTCCATGGCCAAGTTCGTCCGTGGCCTCAAGGAAGAGGATGACATGTGGGTTCCACATGTCATTGACTATACAAACGAATTTGAGAGGTATAGTGTTCGCCTAAACGGCCAGTAAACGGTAAACGGTGGTAAACTGTTTTGTTTATGGGGTAAACGGAAATTAAACGGTTGACCGTTTAAACGGTCAAAAATGGGAAAAATGGTCTAAACGGTCTAAACGGAACGGAGATAAACATCATTAAACGGGCTAAACAGCTTGTTTAGGCGAACACGAGGTAAATTTAGTTCAGTTTTGTATGGATAAATTTGTATACTTAAGTTTATTATATTTATAAATATGTACACTTGATATGTTATATGCATAAATATCTATATTTAGTTCTTTTCATATGCATAAATATATATACATACCAAAATAATTGATTTTTACTCGGATAAATATGTATAAATGCTAGAATACTTGATTTTTTACATGCACATATATAATTATATGTATTTTTTTCAAAAAGTATAAAACCGTTTAGACCGTTTAACTTCGTTTAAACACCGTGTAAACAACCTAAACGCTAAACGAAGGACGACCGTGTAAAGACCGTTTACCGTTTAGGAAAACATTGAGTTGAGGTAGTATTGCTGGAGTTGAAAGCAAAATATGGGTAGTCTCAGAATAGGTGGCTACCTAAATAGAGAAGTAGGGGGTGTGTTTTAAGTAGTATTGCTGGAGATGCTCTTACACCTATCCTTGTGAGCATATCCGAAGGACTGAGCCAACAGATCTTGAAATTCACTGTTGACGGGCCACTGAAAGCATATCGCCGTTAAATCCTGGAATAAATCCAGAAAAATACTGTAACACCCTAGTTGTTTGGCTTCCACATAAGTGCATTTCATTTCATAAACATATGCATCATTTATCTCATCATGCCATTGTCACTGAAACATACATATGCAACATTCGCAATTCTGTTTGTTTCATACTTGATTTGCTTGTGAATGGTAGTAGTGAAACATGTGTATGCAACATGAGTTTCTCATACCTTGAAACATGGCAACATGGTAGTAATATGACAAGTATAAAATAACAACAAGGTCATGAAACATGTGAAACATGAAATTGCAACATTTGAGTGAATTGATTGTTTTGTGCTTCATCACATGTGATCATTAGAAATTGGTATAGCACTTGTGTAAAGTGGTTGATTATGGTCTAATACACCTTAATTACACTTAGGGTAATTGTTGGGACATTGTTCATGTGGATCCAAATGACAAAAATACCCTCAAGTGGAGGTTTACTTTTAATGACCCTTAGGGTGCCACTGTTTGACTGATTCAAAAGACCAATTTAGAGACCTTGCATGGCTGTGCACTCTTTACCAAAGTTGTAGCTAATTTATCAAGGAACAAAAGTTGTTTTATGATCAACTCATGAAAATGTGTGGAACAGCCTCAAACATGGCCCACAAGTCATTATTGATGGTGGATTCAACACTGAAAAATATTTCTAAGTCCTAACTGCATTTTCAGTTTGATTGAGCCACCTTTGGCTTGATGTAACTTCTGATCCATGGCGAATTAGATGATGGTCCTTGAAAAGAAGTTGTAGATGGATGGTAGACCTACATTTTTCATGTACACAGTTTTTGCAATGGATCGATGGTTTAGCCGTGTTGACACGTCGAATTCACGCTGTCAGTCGTCGTCATTGAACACTGAATCGAAAATTTCAGAAAACGGACAGAGCTCGCCGTGGCCGACCGGCTCAGGAGCTGATCGCCACGCGTGGCGCGCATGCTCGGCCAACGTCTCCACGTCGCACGTCCGAGCTCCAGATGAAAGCCAGCGCCTGCCCGACGCACTCGCCTGCTCCATTTGCATTCTTTCACTCCACCACCGCCAAGAAGACCGCCGCCGCAGCTTCTCCATTTCAGACCGAAAGGCGCCGCCGCCTTCTTGCTCCGCCATCGCAAAAAACACGTCGCCCTCTTGCTCCTAAGCTTCGCCGTGATCTCTCTACCACCTCCACCTTTCACCGGGCGATTGGGGCTTAATAAGGCGTAATCGCCATTTCTTCCACCGCCGCCATGGCGGGACCTCGTCGAGTTGGCGCCCACGCGCCAACCGCCACCATGCTGCCTTCCCATCCCTTCTCTCCCTTGCGCTAGGTCTCGTGGTGTGACGCTGAAGCTTGTAGAGTAGGCCACTAGGGCGTGTGTGAAGAGTAACCTCGCCGAGCCCGGCCAAGCCATGGCCGTCTTGCCGCCATTGCCGTCGCCACCCCCCCTTTTGCCACAAAGAATAACTTCAATAGATGGCATCGTTAGATGCGCATGACCGAGGCGAACACCGTAGCACCGATAGCCTCGGGGCGGAGCATCACACGGTGACGAGCTCACGCCGCCGTCAAGCTTCTTCCTCCCCGCTGTCTCACTGTCTCGCGGGTCCCGTGTGTCAGTCGCTGAAGCGGAGGCGGGAGCCAGCCTGGGCCGCGTCGTGGCTGGGCTGCGCTTAAGATTAGGTGTTGCTGTACGCCGTGTCCTTCAGGGCCGCCAAAGATGAGAGTTAGGGTTCAAATTTGTTTTGTTTTATTCTTTTCATGATTTGTGTATAGATTCAAAATATGTATCTCCTAGTTGGTAGATTCAAATGATGTGGTTCCAATTTTGTTGAGTTCATGATAATGTCTAGTTTATATTAAAAATATAATTTATGCCATGTTCTGTTATGAAAATGGAGTTGCTAATTGTCTCTTTTAATCATGGAGGAAATAGGGTAATTATATATTTTTTACTGTGTAGCTCCAAATGGCATGAAATTTTTATGGTGTACTGCTCATATCATGAATAGCTTGTAGTTAAATTTTCATACATTTTGGACACTGTATGTAGGAGATAGAAAATTCTCTTGTTTGCATGAATGTATCTTGTGTAAATTTTCATAATTTTTCTATAGATCCAGTAAAGGTAAAATTTGGTGAGTGCTATTCTTATGCTAGAGTAATACTAGGAAAAATAAGAAATATGTTGCTTGACACTTTTCATTAGGATTTCCTAATTATGCTAGAAATAGACATGCCACATGTTATTTTGGATACAGCAAGTTTTGCTTGTCCAATGGCTTTGAAATTTTTATGGTAGTCTATGTGATGCATGAGATAGCTACTGTAATTTTTGTAGATTTTTCTGAATAGTTTTACTATATATTGCTTTAATCACCTAATTAACTAAATAAATTAGAAAAGGACATTAAATAATTTATTTAGAGGTTGGCACTATACTTTCTGATATTCCTCTAGTATGTGCAACAAGTTGGTAAACTTGGTTTGGTCCAATTATACTTTTGCATCATCACTAAATAATTAATTTAGTAAACCTGTTATTTCTGGACAGATTCTAGATTTACTGGAATTCGATTTGGTTAACGTAAGAATCATGCTTTGATGTTTACAAATGATTTGTAGAGAATTTCATAAGCTTTCCAGAATGTCCTCTTGCAAGTCATTTGAATTTATAGAACTCTGGTTATGATTGAATTAAGGAACTACTCGTTGCATGTAAAACCTTAACTTTGATTTAAGTATGCCTTTACTATTTCTAAGTTTGTGGTAATGTTCCTAGGTGTTAGGCCTTTAACTGAAGATGAGCACCTTTATCTTAGGTTATGCAAGTTAGATAAGTAGATCTCGTTCTTCAAGTTAAGTGAGATACATGTTTTAAAGTGATTTGAATAGAGCTATTCTAAATCGATAAACGAGTGTCCAGTGATGTTTTCGTTAAACGTTTACTGTGATTCATTCATCATGAGCATCATGTCATTCCTTATGCATCCATGATATTTATCTTGTGTATCGGCATGCAATAGGTGTACCGGAGGGAGTGACACTGCTGGAATTCGAGGAACCGAGCGAGGAGCAGCAGCCAACACCGGAGGTTCAGGAGGTGCAGCCCTCAGAAGAAGTGCCAGACGAGGTCGCCGTTGAGTGCCCGGATCACCGTCCGTGCAACTTTGTGAAAGGCAAGCCCCGGAGCATATTAAGCTTCCTAATTTCCAAAATGCAGTTAAAGTATTATTGCTACATATATATATTGTTGCATTAAGTTTAGGTGTTGGATGCAAACACTTGCTGCATTGGTTATCCCATCTTTGTCCAGATATTGATACCCTGAATCCTATGTAGCTCAGGCTCGTGTAGTGCTTAGCCCTGCTTAAACACGGTAGAAGTCAGGTGATTTCCTATCACCTGCGAGATATAGGAAGATACATATGGCACGGTTGGCTATATTTGCTATCGTGGAAAAGAACCCGTCTTAATTTGAAATGAAGACCGGACGGAGGCTTGTCGGTTTGCAGTGACTCCGTCTGTGTCGCTTAAGGACTGAATCTTGGAGCCTTTCCTGTTTATGTTGAACGCATGCCTCTCTCTTAGTTGGCCATGTCCGAAGACCGACCACGAAGCCGAGTAGCTCACCTCAGGCCGGGAGTCGATAAGTATAAAGTGCGCCTTGGAAGGGAACCGTAGGCGTGAGTCCAAGGGCAGGTGATTTAAAAGTCCTGATCGTCCTGGCAGAAGGGTAATCCCTGAGAGTGCTGGCGCTGATCGAACCCGCGAATTTGGTTTCTGAGTTGTTCCAAAGGTGACCCACGGCTACCCTTGCAAAGTATGCCAGGGTGAGAGTTAGGAATACCCCCTCAGCTGAGTTGTAATTCGATTCGAGTCGCCATCTCTCCCGGTTAGTGAGAACTTGACGGGCTTATCTCCAAAGTAAAGACACTAAATAACATGATGGTTCGAAAATGATGATATGATGATGACAGCCTGATTATACCTGCTATGGTTAATATTGTTTGCTCCTAATAAGTGAGTGCTCTAGTACAGGTGCTAATCTAGTGGACATGTAAATGATGATAAGCTTGATGCTAAGTTTAAAGTGGTCACTATATTCATAAGCTCTTTTATACAACTGTGTCAAGCTAGCCCACCTCATAAGCCTTGCATGACTCTTGGTGTCTTTTATTTCTGATTTTTGACGGGTAAGTCTAGCTGAGTACCTTCTCGTACTCAGGGTTTATCTCCCACCTGTTGCAGATGACCAGTTCTACTTTAGTTGCTGCAAGTATTGCCTTCTCCCGGCTGAGGATGAAGACTAGACCGTTGGGCGCGGTCTCTCCTAGTTCTCGTACCTGATGATGCTTTTTGTGGGACATGACTAAGATCTGGCAATGTATTTCAAACTATGAAGTTATGTACTAAACTATGTTGCTTCCGCAAAGTCGAACTTGGTTTGTAATATTTTATTTGAACTCTGATGGATGTAATCCGAATGCTACTTGTGAAATGTTTAACGAATGATATGTTGTGTTGAATCACTACGGTCTTGGTTTGTATGTCGAGAGTTGGTTGAAATCCTTCGTGATTTCCGGACTACCGGGATTATGGGAGTTTAAATACAGGAATTTGATCACTTCGGTGATTGTTTTTGTACTTACGTTCTTATGATTTGGTCGGTTCTGTTACAAATACGAACACCCATGCCAAGTCGACAACTTGAATCCGGATGAATAAATTCCACCACAATGAACCCAACCAACTGATCTATTATCAGTTCGCTTGTCAGGCTACCTAATTGACTGCGGCAATGCCAATTGGTGCAAAAATAAAGTTCTAACATTTTTTTGTGAGAAAAAATAAAGATCTTTTTTAAAAGCTTCATTAGGAGATCTTGTTTTTAAGAATTTATACCATGTATAAAGATGTGGACAAAACATTATTACGTTAGAAATAATTTGAAGCTTATATTATGCACCATCAATATCAATAGATTTATTAGGATAAGAGTACCTGGGAAGCGGCACCCATAATGATAATTGCTGGTACACGGATGCATGCGTCAAAGTTGATTGATGCGGTAAAATGAATGCATGCGTCAATCAGTAAAACTGCTAACATTAATACTGATAATATGAATTTTACATAAAAAATACTAGTACTCCCTATGTAAAAAAATACAATAATTCTCACTTTTGGGAGTTAAATAATTTGACGTTTGACCAAAATTATATAAAAAATACTTTATAATACAAAGTAAGTATCATTAAATTAATTATTTGATCTACTTGAAGGCATAAATGTTAATATTATTTTATCTACTTGGGGCCTACACAATATGCCTCCACCCCATACACTAGAACAACCCTCTATGTTTCACGGGGTGGTCTAGCAGCTACTTGGAACATAGGTTGCACCTTCTCTGACCGATTCATGCCCTTCGCTCGGCAAGACCTAATAATTAGAACAAATAAAATTCCAAGCAGAAAGGAACAAGGACGGGCCATTAAGAACAAGAAATCCTAGACACATAAGTGGTCTGCGGAAGAAGAAAAAGCAAACTTTACACGAAAGAGAATACGAACACAAAAGAAATTACTCACAGATAGATTGAATCCATGCAAAGTCTCCTAGCTTTGTGTATCGCCGGCTGCCAATTGAACTTGTTTCTTAGCAACACAAGCTAACAGAATTTTGTGGCGGGTTAAGGGGTGGCGAACGAGGTGACGGGGCATTGCCGTGCGGGCGGTGAGAGACAACCAGATGGCTAGAGCCGGCGGCGGGACAAGATGCTTGAGCTCTTCTCCTCCTGTTGGGGTTAGGGGTGGAACGGTGGGGTGGGCGGTGGGCGGCGGCGGCCGGAGGCAAGAGCGCGCTGGTGCAGTTCAATGACGAAGAAGAACAGTCGCGCTTTTCCTGAAAAGTGCGATCGGTCACGGCTTAGCACGCTCCAATGTGATACACATCAGGAAGCATAGTAACAAGGAAGATGTGATTAAAGAGATCGAAGACGTAAAGCTGTCCCAGTACCGGAATCCTGAAATTTGCCGAATGTCTTTAGGTGTGCCGAGTGTATTTTTTCGGACACTCGGCGGATAAGTTTTTTGTCGAGTGCCACGCTAAAAACACTCGACAACAAAAAAAACACTCGGTAAATAGAACGTTTTGCCGAGTGTCAAAACAAAAACACTCGACAAAGAGGTTGTTTGTCGAGTGTTAAAAAAATACACTCGGCAAACAAAAATAAAATATTTTTTCTAAAAAAGAAGGAGAAGAAAAAAATATAAAAAAAACTTTGCTGAGTGCTCAGATTAAAACACTCGGCAAAAAAAAGTAGAAGAAAAAAAATTAAAAAAAAACTTTGCCCGCGTGCCTGAGTGTCCGACAGAAAACACTCGGCAAACCCTTTGCCGAGTGTTTTTGGGCTTCGCCGAGTGCTCTTAGCACTTGATAAATATCCTGTATCTGGTAGTGTGCACTTATACATTTAAGGAATTCCCATTTAATGAATTCCACTTTTGACAAAGCAGGGTCCGCAGGAAACACATGTACGCCGGAACGCAGACAGGTTATCCAGGGGGGAAATGCAGACCATAACTTTGAATTAAGGTTAGGTATAACGCACACGCTAAGCACGTGTACTCCTTTCATTCTAAATTATAAGATATTTTGATTTCTCTATATACATTGGTTTTATTATACATAGTGTATATCTAAGTATAGAAATATAAATATCTTATAATTTGAAATAGAGCAAGTATGTATCCAGTCTAGTTATAGAAAATACCACGGTGCTAAATGATCTTTGAGTTTTGTGAATCAGTCCCCGTTTGGAAGGGTTCCCCCACGGTTTTGGCTCCTTCAACTCCTGTATTGCTGATCAGCGAGGAGAGAGGGTGGAGGGAGAGAAAACAAAACGGACCCCGTTCCCGTGGTGGGTGGCATTCGTTGGATGAAGAGTGGAGTTGGGAGTTTCTTTTTTCTTTTTGTTTTTTTTAACAGGTGTTGGGAGGTTGACCGTGACCGAACAGACCAGCACCAGCCGCTCCGGTCGTCCTCCTGCTCATCCGTTTCCTTCCCAGCAAGATTCCCACTCCTGTCCACAAACCTAGCTACTAACGGCGCGTTTAGTTGGCGAAAATTTTTGGCTTTGGCTACTGTAGCACTTTCGTTTATATTTGACAATTAGTGTCTAATTATGGACTAATTAGTTTCGAAAGTTTCGTCTCGCGATTTCTCACTCAACTGTGTAATTAGTTTTTTTTCGTCTACATTTAATACTCCATATATATACCGCAAGATTCAATGTGACACTTTGGGGTGAAAATTTTTGGGAACTAAATAAGGCCCTAACCATGCCTCCAAATGACACACAGGCACACGAATGGATGTGATTGATCAACTTTCTAGCCTGCCTACTACTGCTACAAGCAAGTAGCTGGAGAGAATTGAGAACTGGTGATATATGGTACAATAATGGATAATATCAGAACATATTTTTTCATGCTGTAAATTGTATTATAGACACGAAATTGAAGAAGTTCCGTGATTAAGCTGTGCAAAATAAAATAACCCTGACATAAGAACTGGCATTTCAGCCTTGGACATAGGAATAGGACTGGTGGCCGTTGATCTACTTTGGTGGATTCCCCAATTAGTGCCATATGGTAAACCATGCAAGGCCTTATTGACAATTACAGAGACAATTACAGACCATCAATCTACATGCTGAAGAAGTTGGAAATGCAGAGCAGGAGCTCCAGTTGTTGCTGCGGGGTGGCGCCATTGCTGGACTCCCCGGTGGAACATTAATCGTAATAATAATAAAATAAATTACACATTTAAAATACTACTACCAGTTAAGTGAGCCTTCCTGAAAAGCTGAAAGAAAAGAATGGACCCATATCAACGATATGGATAATTCAAGCATGGTGATAAGATGGATGTGGCGTGTCCTCGTCCAGTTCCAAAGAAAATTTAAGAATTTGAGTCTGAACTCTGAACCCAACCAAGCTTTATTCAGATTCATTCGTGTGGAATAAGACACGAGCAGTAGCAAAATGATCTCCAGTTTTCCACAAGTAACAAACAGTCTATTATAATCATCCGTATTGATAAACAATTTCAGAGGGAGAGAACAGAAATCAAATTCCAACACACAAAAGGCTTGCTCGGTCGATCAGCTCCTTCTTTCCATAAAATCAGTACATACATACACATTGATTGATGTACGCAAGAATTGATGATGGGCGTGAGGCGACAAAATCAGTACATACATACACATGGATTGATCTACGCAAGAATTGATGATGGGCGTGATGCAGGAATGGGTGCACTCTAGTCTATACATACATACACACACTACTGCTAACTCATACATACTAGCTTGATTTCCCTGTAATAAGCACTGAACACACACACACAAGTAGATGTAAAAGAAGAACACTCTGCCTGACTGGCTGACTGATTGAATCTGAATGTTTCTTGCAGGGCCGCTGCTAGCTAGACAAAATCGAAGCGCATGAGGAGCCTGACGGACTTGTACCTGTTGCCCTTGCGGTCATGCAGGGGCACAGCACGGATGCCCTGCTTCAGCTCCCACACCGGCAGGCATGTCTGCCCCCCAAAGTCGTGCTTCTCCGACATGTCGTACTCCTGAACCTCTATCCTCAGGAGGGCCAGCTCCGGCACCCTCAGAGGGAACGTGAACTCCTCATCCCACACCGTCTCCCACTGGTCTTCGATCACCCTTGTCTTCTTCATCACAGTGTCTGCCTTCACTCCAGCGATCCCTACCTGTACATTTTCAGAGAGCATGTCGATTGCGAACTGTTAGATTGATCTCTCAGCCAATAAGCCCAACGGTCTATTGGGCCTTGGTCACGCGCCCTGATCGGGGGCGCCCAACCCTACATGTTTGGTGGGCCCCGTCGCGATCTGCGCTATATAAAGAGGTGGGGGGCGGCTCGAGTGCGAGGTTCGCCGTGAGCCGTAAACCCCACCGACAAACCCTGAACCGATCTAAGAGGCGCGCACCCGGCTGACGGGAAGCTCCGGACTTTCGCCGTCGTCCATCAAGCACGCTGTCGTCCGTCTGCACTGCATCGACGTCCGTGCAACATCTACTCCACCCGTCGCTGCCCGTGTCTGCCTCCATCACCGGTTGAGATGGTCAGCTCAACCGCGACTCCTCCGAGGGCTCGGGTTCAACACCAAACCCTTACCCTATCTCCCTCTCGGTGTAGTGTTCTAGGTTTAGATATGCATGTGCTATTACGGATCCAAGTGTCATCCGCCTAGATCTACCCTAGTTGATCCACCGCGCAAACAATGGTACCAGAGCCAAGGTTTAAGTATAAATCTTGGATTATAGGGTTTGATCTAGAACGGGTACCGATTAGAAAAGGAAAAGTTGATTAGATCCAGTGCGGATCTAAGCAGAAAAGGGTCGGCCGACGTTCGGTTGAACCCTAAACTTGATCCGTCGGATCTGAGAAAAGATATGGTTCGGATGAACCCTAACCCTAATGAGGTTAAAGAAGAAGAAGGGCTCGGTTTTCATGCAAAGATCGAACCCTAAAACCCGAAGGCGATTTGGGGAAAAAGAAAAACAGTGTCGTCCCCAACCCTAACCCTAACCCTAATCGGGAAATCGTGCAAAATCCGAATCAAAAGAAACCGAAAGGGAAAGAAGGGGAAGAGGGTGGTCGGCTCACCTCGCCACGAAACACGCCGCCAGCCGTGGGGAAAAGAAAGGGTCGGGGGGTGAACTGCTTTCATTGGACGGCCACTAGGGCGCCAGCAGCGAGCCGCTCGACGGCGGCGCGCGCTCACCCCATGGAGCGTGCACGCCGCGAGGGGGCCGAGACGCCAGCGCGGGCTCACTGGTCGCTCTCGTCGTCCTAAGCTCCTCGCTTCGGTGTCTGCTGCGGGGGCCGAGTGGAGAGGAGAGAAGCGATGAAGCGAAGAGAGAGAGAGAGAAGGCGAATGGCGCTTAGGTCAAGGGCGCGCGCTTGACGGTCGCGAGGGTTTTGATCTGCGATGCGCGCGCGCAGCCGTCGGATGGAGACAGACGACCACGGCGAGTGGGCCAAAGTCGCGCCTAAGCGAAGGCGCGGGACGCCAGGGGTACATTGCCGCCCAGCCCAGTTGCGGCTTTGGGTGCGGTGCGCTGTGCTGCGAAAAGAAAAGGCCGAGCCGTTTTTGCGGTTTTGGGCGAAACAGAAAAGAATAAGTCCAGTTTTGCGTTTTTTCTTTTTCCAGAAAATTGAAAAATGAAAATTGGCTCAAAAGAAAATAGAAAAAGTATTTTTTCCTGTGGGTAAAATTCATCAAATTGAATAGTTTTTCCGCTGCATATTTAAAGATGCAATTTTCATTATTAAATTCGAACCAACGGGAGAATTTAATTTTAAAAATGAATATGTTTTAATTGATTATAATATTGTTATTATTCTGACCAACGTTGATTAATGGCAATATTATAATATTTTTGTCTTGCATTAATTTCTATTTCTGCCCAACGGTGATGTAGAATTAGTGTAGGGAACAGTTGTATGTTTTAATTTTAACCAACGTTGAAAATAAGGCATGCAATTGTTATTGTTATTATTTATGTTCTCACAACATTTGAATTGTGTTTTCAGGAGGATATAACTTGATGAGTTGTATCAAAGAGATCCCCACTCTAAAAGGTGATAACTATATTGAGTGGAAGAAAAAGATAGACCTGGCTTTTATCCTCGCTGAGGTGGACTGGGTTGTCACCACACCGTGTCCCAGAGAACCTATGACACCGGTGAGGGAGACAGATGAGACTGATGCTGCATGGCAGAACAGAGAGCGGGACTTTGCTCCCGTAAAGATGTCATATGACCTTGAGCATAGAAAATGGGTCACTGCCAACAAGAAGTGTTTGGCAGTGATAAAGAACACAATTAAGCCTGCAATAGTGGGCTCAATTTCAGACTGTGACACGGTCACAGAGTACCTAGAAAGAATAAAGAGTCAGTTTACTGGCTCTTCAAAAACATATGCAACCCAGCTGATCAAGCAGCTGGTAACAGAAAGGTACTCTGGTGGCGGCAGTGGCATTAAAGAGCACATACTGAGAATGAGCAATCTGGCATCTAAGCTTAAACCAATGGATTTGGCATTCAAGGATGAGTTTCTTATTCATTTGATTTTTTCTTCTTTGCCCAAAGAATTTGACACATTTGTTGTTAATTACAACATACAGCCTGAAAAATAGGATTTAGAAAAGCTCATAGCCATGTGTGTGCAGGAGGAGGAAAGAATAAAAGTTTCACAGGGTGGTACTGTTAACTACCTAAAAGATAAGAAAAAGAACTATAACAACAGCTCTTCCTCCAAGTCATCTGGAAAGGGTCCCATGCAACAGTCTCAGAACAAGCAATTCCCAATGGATAAAGATCAGTGTCTCTACTGTAAGAAGACGGGACATTATAAGAAGAATTGTCCCAATTTCCTAAAGATGATTATGAAAAATAAAGGTGAGAACATTATTACGTTCGCAAATGAATCCTTGTATGTAAAGTTTTCAAAATCTACTTGGTAGATTGATTCAGGTGCAACTATTCATGTTGCTAATTCATTACAGGGATTTCGTTCGATGAGAACTTTGCAAAGAAGCGAAAGTTTCATTAAAGTCACAAATGGAGTACAAGCAGATGTTGAGGCCGTTGGCGATCTTCCGCTAGAGCTTGCTGATGGCTTCATACTTATTCTGAGAGATGTTCTTTATGTACCTTCTTTGCAAAGAAACTTGATTAGTGTATCAAAGTTGGACCATGATGGTTATGATTGTCATTTTGAAAATGGCAAATGTCAGATATTGTTTAATAATAGATGTATTAGTCTTGCCTTCCGACAAGACGAGCTTTATTTGTTATCACTTCGTGAAAATGTGAATTCCGTATGTGATGTGAATGAGAATGTATCCTCATCGAACAATGCAAACAGAAAACGAAAGAGAGCTCATGATGCGTTGTTGAAATTATGGCACTGTCGTTTAGGCCATATTTCGAGGGGGAGAATAGAAAGACTAGTTAAGAATGATATTCTTCCTATATTAGAGCTCTCAGATTTAGAACAATGTAGAGATTGTATAAAAGGAAAGTATGTAAAGAAAATTAAGAAAGATGCCAAACGAAGCGCAGGAATTCTATAGATTATTCACACAGATATCTGTGGTCCTTTTCCTGTGAAAAGTGTGGATGGTTATGATTCATTCATAACTTTCACAGATGATTACTCTCGGTTTGGCTACATTTATCCAATTAAAGAAAGAACAGAAGCGTTGGATAAATTCAAAATATTTAAAGCAGAAGTTGAAAATCAGCATGATTTAAAGATTAAGATAGTCAGGTCTGACCGTGGGGGAGAGTACTACGGTCGGCATACCCCATATGGCCAAGTTCCTAGACCTTTTGCAAGGTTCTTACAGGAGAATGGCATAGTAGCCCAGTATTCCACACAGGGCGAACCTCAGCAGAATGGAGTAGCTGAAAGGCGTAACCGTACCCTGATGGATATGATGCGTAGTATGATAAGTTACTCCACTTTACCGATAAGTACCAAGTAAGTCGGTGCCCAAAACACTGTATGAGTTGTGGACAGGAAGAGTACCCTCACTTAACCACTTGCGTGTGTGGGGGAGCCCTGCTGAGGCTAAAGTTTTTAACCCAAACATTGGGAAGCTGGATCCCAAAACAGTGAGTTGCCATTTCATTTGCTATCCAGAAAAGTCAAAAGGTTTTCATTTCTACTGTCCTAACAGACATACAAAGTTTGTGGAAACGAGACACGCTGTCTTTCTAGAGGATGAAATGATTAGGGGGAGCATGGTAGCTCGAGAAATTGATCTTGAAGAGAAGCGGGTGTATGCACCCACTCCGATCATTCATGAGCCATTTTTCTCACTACCTGCTGTTACTGCACCGACAGTATAAGACACTGTGGTGTCAGCACCTGTTGTTATCCCGCCTGTGGCAACAATGAATGATGATGAGGAACCTGTTCCTCAGGATCCTATAGAAACTATTGCCACACATGAGGGGGAGCAACAACAGCCTCAAACAAAAAATGTGCCAAATGAGGAGACCCCTAGAAGGTCTCAAAGAGTTAGAAAATCAGCTATTCCTGCTGATTATGAAGTGTACAACACTAAAGAATTTCAAATAGAGGATGATCCCACCTTATTTGAAGCCATGAAAAGTGATCATTCATCAAAGTGGCTTGAGGCCATGGAAGATGAGATGAGATCGATGAATGCAAATAAAGTTTGGGATTTGGAGATAATTCCTAAAGGAGCCAAAATAGTAGGCTGTAAATGGGTCTACAAAACAAAACTTGACTCTCAAGGGAATATAGAGAGATATAAAGTCCGACTTGTGGCAAAAGGCTTTACACAAAGAGAAGGGATTGATTACAATGAGACCTTTTCTCCAGTCTCATGTAAGGATTCCTTCAAAATCATAATGGCATTAGTGGCACATTACGATTTAGAATTACATCAGATGGATGTAAAGACGGCATTTCTCAACGGAGACTTAGAAGAAAATGTTTACATGGCACAACCGAAAGGTTTTGTCATGGAAGGAAAAGAACGTTTGGGATGCCGCCTAAAGAAATCCATTTATGGATTAAAACAAGCTTCAAAACAGTGGTACTTGAAGTTTGATCAGACAATAAAGAATTTTGGGTTTAAAGATAATGTTGAGGACAATTGTGTCTACGCAAAGTTTAAGAATGGGAAGTTTATCTTCCTTGTCCTGTATGTGGATGATATCTTACTT